AGTGCACCGAACATATGTCTCGAACCTTTCCTAGAAATGTTGGACACATTTAATAGAATCGAAAATCCGCTTGTGAAATTTATAATTACAACTAGATCCAATCTAAGTCACACCGAAATGAAGTCATGTGACGCAGTACAAATTGTAACGTTAGAGGAAGATGACCTCACGTCAGATGAAGCGATTCAAATCATCAGATATCATGCCGGCCGTGTTGAAATCGATGACGACGACGCCCACAAACTTGCAAGGAGTTGCGGCAAGTGCCCTTTAGCTCTTAAAGTTATTGCTCGTCGACTTCAGGATCCGGAACTAGGAATATCCGTCAGTGAGATGGTTCAAGCATTATCAGAACGATTTGGCAAACTTAGCAAAACAATGAAAACTCTTTGTCATTTCGGTCTAGCTCGAGATGAAAGAATTGATATTTGCCTCATGGATACATTTGATCAATTACCAGAACCAGAGAAAAAAAATATAACCATGCTCTCTGTGATCCCGGGAACATTTACTATAGAAGCAGCTAAGGCAATTCTAGGTCACAGAAAAAAACAGCTCTTTGATACGAAATGTGAGCTCCGCAATTTGAAGAGTAGAAATTTACTAGAGTCTGATGATATTCGGGAAGGGGTTGATCCCAAATATCTGAGGAGCAATCTCCACCTTCTGTTACGAACGTTCATACACGAAATAAAAGCAGAACAACAGAAGGAGGTACGTGATTGGTGTGAACAGGCCAAGAAGAGGTTTGTCCGTTATTATATGGACGAAATGGGGGACATCTCCAAACGGTTTGATGAGGATCACACAGATGCAATGCGTCAAAAAGAGAACGACCGCGTGAATTTCTTGTATCTCATTGAGCTGTTAAAACAGCGTAGTGGAGTTGAAGAAGATGTTCAAAATGTAAGGGGTATGGAGAGGGTATTACGCCTCCTCGTATCAGCCAAGGAGCGCCGGTCTTACTACAGAAAAAGGGCTGATGCATCAAAGCAAGAAGGCAACACAAGAATGTACGCCGAAATGAGGTGCCGTGAAGTTGTGCAACTTGTTCAAATGGGGCACAAAGTCACAACGTTGATGCCAGCTTTGAATGAAGCCCGTGATATATTGGAGCATCTGCCTGACATTGAGAGCTCGAATGTTCAAATTAGTCTTGCAACATGTTACCAATGTAAAGGTGATGTTTACTATGAAAGGATGCACTATTCAAAAGCGGAAAAGTGGATGTTAAAAGCTCTAAAACTAAGACAAACGTACTTGGGAAATCACTATAGCACAATTAACTCACTGGCTTCCCTAGCTGCTACAAACCTAGGGCTAGCCTTCAAAGATATAGAAGAAGTTCTACCCACTGGAGAAGTCACGCAGAAGTGTGAGTTTCTGTCAAGCAAAGTGTACAGGGCGCTGGGATTTGCCGAACAAGCATTGTCGATTGCTGGAACAAAGAAGCATCTCGATGTACCAGATATCATTTTGAACATGGCTTCTGGCTATCTGTATCTCGAAAACACAGTAAAGCATAGAACTCTATGAAGAAGCTTTGAAATTAGAACGAGAATTACAGACTGGTGGTTTTGAGGCTACCCAAGTTTTACTGAAGAATATCGCTATGTGTCACTTTGAAATGAAAAGGTAACGATTGCAAATTATTTTATAGCAGTATTCGTTTGTGGACGTGCTAAGATTTGAATCACATATACACATATTAGGTAAATCTAGACCGCATGGTTATTGAAGTTTTGTAGTATTTCATTGAACTATTACTACTACTGTACTGCCAAAACAACCTTTTTCATTTTATGATATATCACATGCTTTTATAGCATTTTATAGCAGTATTTGTTTGTTGAAGTGCTGCGATTTTAATCACATTTGCTTATATTAGGTAAATCTAGACCGCATGGGTATTGACGTATTTATTATTTAATTTCATTGAACGATTATCATATGATTATCATATCATATGAGTGATTGCCCGTCGGCGTCCATCGTCCGTCGTCCGCCGTCCGTGTCAACTTTTTACTTTTTCGATTTCTTCTTGGAAACTACAAGTCTGAATGCTTTGATACTTGGTGTATATGTATGTACCTTGGGAAGACCTCTCTTAGATTTGTTAATTTTATGATGATATCTGCAATTCTCTAATTTTGTGATATTTTCGACTTCTTGTTAAAAACCGCAAGTCCGATTGTTTTGATATTACATATATTGGTACTACATGTGGACCTCTTTCAAATTTGTTCATTTCATTATGATATCTTCAATTCTCTAATTTTGGTGAATATTTTTGTCATTTTTGGAAAAAAGTGATAATTTTGCGTTCTTGTTAAAAACACTAGGGTTCTCTCAGATTTGTTCATTTCGTGATGATATCTTCCATTCTCTAATTTTGGTAAATATTTTTTCATTTTTGGTAAAAGGTGATATTATATATATATAGGTACTACAGGTATATCTCTCTCAGATTTGTTCATTTGGTGATGATATCTTTAATTATCTAATTTTAATGATTATTTTTGTCATTTTTGGTAAAAAGTGATTCTTGTTGAAAACAGCAAGTCCGATTGCTGTGATACTATATATATTGTTCATTTTCTAATGATATCTTCAGTTCTTTAATTGAAATATGCATTGCTAA